GAAATACAGTAATTCCTTTGGAATACAAATGAGCCTGCAGAATGTTTTCTTATTCATTGCCTACTCCTTCCGCAACTGGTCTTTTTGGAGTGGGAGATCCCAATGTCTGCTCTGACTATAAGAAGATCTAGTTACTTACTTGATGGGTTTTTCAAGCCATCTATCACAACAGTGGTGATTTTTGCTTTCAGTGTGAAGCATACTGAATCCTAAGCCTTTCTGCTTCTCTCTTGACAAAAAGCTCCTGAACCTTCCATTGGTTCTCAAAAGGAACTACAGCTTTTAGCACTGCTTTTGTAGAACAAGGTATTTACTTTTGATATCTCCATCATGTTGACTTCTCTAAACTTAATTATATATCCTTTAGCTATTTGTTTGGTGGGAGAAGGGGCAGTAAAATAAAATTTCAAAAAAGAAGAAGATATCACATTATATAATTCTACTAGGTTCTCATCTCCCTAATTGAAGCAAAATTCTTTAAATTAAATGTGGGTGTAGGAAAAGTTGGTTGAGAAGGGAGTAACTACAAGTACCTACAAGACAAGTGCCTTCTTGCTTTCATATTCCTTTGGATCCTAGAGGCACCATGGCCCTTTGGGTTACTTAACAGGTATGCATTTCTCCACTGAAGTGATATTTCTATTCTAGAAGAAGCATGAATGCTAAAATCATTTACTGTGTACTGCAGAAATTTCCATTAAGGCTCACACACACACAGTGCTCTCTTTCTTCAGGCAAGTCTCAGAGTCTCAAACAGGGACTAGGAGTTACACACTCCAACACTGAGTGTAAGCAAGTCAACTAGCATCATGCACTTGCACCTCTTTATGCCTCTCTGTAAAATGAAAGGACTGAATAAAATGATTTCTTAAATCTCTTTCAGCCCTCACATTTTTGTCATTCTTAAAGAATTAGCTTATCTTACCAAAAAACAAACAAACAAAGAATTAGCTTATCTATCTTCCTTTCCATCTTGTATTTACCTGTCATCTGTTTATCTTTCTCAAGCATATTTGAAGTTGTTTCAGAGGTGAGTTTAAGGGAATAAAGACTAAACTTCAGGTATTTCCCTGGAATCCTTCTAAATTAAAAAGTTTAATATTCCATCTAATTTTACATTTTAATATTATATTCTATTTCTTAAAGACAGCTTTCAAATTTGCATGCCTTAAAGATCCTACAGAATTTGTATTTGCTCATTGGTGGTTTAGGGAAAAAAGACAAATAGAAATGAGTATCATCAAGAACCCACGTATTTAGCACAGTGGTGCCACCTCCTGCCTCACAAGTGCAAGGTCCCAAGTTCGATCCCCAGTACCAAAAAAGAAAAGAAAAGAAATTAGTATCAAAATGGGGATTAAAGCTGGGTGTGGTGGCTCACACATATGATCTCAGCAACCAAGAGGCTGAGGCAAGAGGATTGCTATGAGTTCAAGGCCAGCCTAGACTACATAGTGAGTACAAGGCCAGCCTGAACTACATAGTGAGACCATGTTTCAAAGGGGGGGGGGGGGGTAAAAAGAAAGATCTAAAAAGAGGAATAGGAATAAAATTATATTAAATTCTAGATGGTTTCCCTAGTTGAGCAGCAAGTAGGGCTTGCCCCTCTGCATTTTGGAAGGGAAACCAGTGAGGGGAGTCTACATTGCTTAATTCTTGCTATCAGAACAATATCTTACAATCAAATCAAACAAAAATATTCTATAATCTTGAACTCAGTCTACAGGAACTAAATCATACTATGATCAAAAGTGGTGTTTTTGCAAAGACAGAAACCTTCATAGAAACAAGTGCTAAATTTTTGTAAAAGTCTTCTATGGAAGGCCTTGTCTCATCCAGATGTGAGAGATACAGAAAGGACAAGAATGGGGCTTGTCCTCTCAATGCTCTCAGGCAAACACAAAACAATTATAAATAAATTAACACATAGATCATGGGGCCTGTGCCAAGATTTAAAAAAACAAGGCAGTTAACTCACATCAGGGATATGGAGAAGAAAGGGAAGAAATAACTTCTGAATTCAGTTTTCAAGGTAAAAATATTCTTTACATAATAGTTGTCACTTCACAAGGAATGTTTAAAAACCGTCAACATGTGCCTAGACAGTTCTCCTGAGCACAATCTGACTCATTCGCATCGCTTATGGTCACAGTCCTGCTTATAAAATGGAATCACATTCACGGATTCACTCTATACAGACCCTAAAGACCCCCAATATTTCGTAGAATGCATTGCTGCAATTCATTTCTAGGCCTTCTTGTCTATTTACTTGAGTGTTTAAAGGATTCCTCTTGGCTTTCTTGTAACTGTTTAATGGATCTGATGAGTTCACTAGATTCTTTAGTTGTCTGCAAAGAACCAAAAGCAAGGTATTTGGACATAAAAATAAGAACCATTAGGGAAAAAACACCGTTTGAAAATATACTGTGTACATTATACTGAATCCCTTGGCTTTCAGATATTTGCAACTTCAAAACTCTTTATTCAAATGAGCAGTTTAAAAATCTTTTCTAAGCAATTCCCATTTTACAGCAGTGGAATAGAAAAGTGACTCATCTGGCAGAACCTCAAAAAATTGTAAGCCACAAAATGAGGAAGAGCCTGAATTTTAAGCATCCAGTGTTAGGTAATAACATCTTCATACGGAAAATAGGATCTCAGAATAGCCTTTGTTTGGCACAGTGTGCATACTTGAAATGAACATGACTCTCCTGCACTGGTACACTCAAACGGGTGGAAATATTTCTATATCTTTCTAAAGTATTCAACTGTAGCAAGTGCTGCACCAGTCTTTCAAGATCGCTTTCCATTGTGTCTGGCCAAAAACTCTGAGAACTTTATCCTGAGTTATGCAAGGCCCTCTGACTCCAAGAAAGTTTGAAAACACATGAAAATTCTCTTCCTGCCATGTTAACTTCCATTCTCTTTGACAGATTAAAACAGGCAAGCAGTTCCTTGCAACAAAACAGGATTTTCAATCATGGGGAAATTTTCTACATTTGATACTAAATTGTGATGCTGCCATTGTACCTTTTACCTCACTCAACAGGAAATTTGCAAAGGAAAAAAAGATTCAGTACCAACTTGATGTTACTCTGCTGCTTAGACAGAGATAGTCTATTGAGGTATCAGGTCAGGAATCTAGCCATTCTTTGAGGAAATATCATTCAGCTTAAAATTTAGTTCATAGGATAGAGTTACAATGTGGAAACGAGAATTCAGTTTTTTCAATTTGAGTGGATCAGAAGTCAGTAATTAAGCTAAAGCATTGTAACCCCTGAACATCTAAAATCAAGAGATTTTTAATATATGTAATAATTGAAAATAAGATCCCAGGCTTCAAAAAAAATCATAGTAAGCTTTTATTCTTCATTTTTCTCTCTCCATTCAGACATAGGAAAATAGTGATTAGTTTTAAAGAATATGATTCTAGAAATCTCTGAGCAAATTACAATGAAAAGTAAGAAGAGGACAATTGTTCAAACATAAATACTAAAAGAGGGGTTTAATGATTCTTGCAGTCACCAGCTGTTAGCACACTTCAGTGATGTAGAGAACAAATCTGAACAATTCATTAGAAGCTATCACTTATTGGCTAAATACCATGTGTCAGACATGTTAATAGATTCTCTTGTTCAATCTTCACAGCAGCCCTATGCAGTAGACATTATTGCCCTACTTTCAGATGAAGAAATAGGCTCAGGGAGGCTGCAGAACATGCCTAAAACCACCCAGATAGTAGCACAGTGCCCCCCACCACCACCTCTTTCTCTCTCTCTCCTGTTTGATTTCCATCTCATTCTCTCATGCCATTGGCCAAATTTGATGGTGAGGATATACATCTCTGACTTAATTAGCAATATCCACCATGGTGCTGACTTGGCTATAATAATAATACTAATCATTGCAGGGAAGATCTGTGAACCAATCATCTGAGTGAAGCAATGATCTGAGAGCTTTCCATCTAATCCAGTCATACAATCTCTGCAACAACCCAAAGGGATAGGAAAGCCAGAGTAATTGAAAGCATAAGCACCAACGTTGCTGAGAATTTAAGAGTCAGAGCTACTCTTCAAACTCATGTCACCTGGCTCCTGAGCCTCTGTTGTTGGACACAGCGCTGTATTGCTTGGCCAAGAGTTTTAATCTGGATGCAGACTAAGTTCATTTCCCCATTTATACCAAGTCAGGCCACATTCTGAAATGTCTCCACTACCTTAGCACAACTTGTGAATTAAAGTAAAAGCTGAAAAATCAATGAAGTCCGTGATCAATATGAACAATCTAATGTATTCTTGAATTATTCTGCTCAATTAAGTTTCTATCACAGGGTTTAATCCACATATCTGACAAGTAAAAGAGGAATAAAAATGGTTACGTGAAGTTAAGCAAAGTAAGTGCCAAATGATCTTCAGTGTCTAACATCTGCATCTCATAACACATTTAAAAAGATCTATGGCATATATGGATATATTCACACAGGTATACAAGGTGCATATAGCTCAAAACATAGTGCTTATGTCTCAAAATCTGGTTTGAACCACATACAAATGTTCATTAACCTTATGGACAAACACAAAATATTTGATGTCACAAGACTTTTTTATGTTGTTGTTTTTAGTTTTTGGTTTTTTGTTGTTGTTATTGTTGTTGTTGTTTTTGGTACTGGGGATGGAACTCAGGACCTTGCGCTTGTGAGGCAGGCACTGGAACCACTGAGCTAAATCCTCAGCCCCACAAGACTTTCTTATACCAGCTAGCAAAGTTGAACATTAATTAGCTTCTCAATTTTGATGAACCCCGGAGTTCAAAAGTGAAAGCAAAATGATTTCAATGCCTGATACATATAAATATGTATGAATATATGTATAAATTTTGTTCTAATTTCTTAATGTCCTGAATGCTACCAAGTGTCAAGTTTCTGAAATTTTTAAAGTAAAAGATATCATGTGCTAAAAACAAAAAAGCTAACACCTTTTCTTTATTTTCTTTCTCTGCAGGTATTCCCAGTATTTCCAGTATTGGTAGTAAGTAAAAAAATCACCAAACCAAGTCTAGGCTAGCTTTGTGTTGTTGTTGAGCTCCTCGGATCTATTTTTCCAGTGTCCATTTCTGATGTAAAAGAACATTTTCTTTGTGAATTGCATGTTTTGTGTTGGTTTTCTGCATAGATATGGTGAAAGTATGGATGGAATAGTTATTTATGCAAAATTCTTCTGTGGAGATGGCAGTGCCACAACTTTCCTGATTCCTTTGTATCAGTGAAAGCCACCGTACCCTAGCTTATTTAGGAAAAACATAAATGTTTCCATTCCTGTATACTAAGAAATCCAACTCTTTCTCCAGGCTAGATATGGATTTCTCACATAATTGGAGAAAGCAAAGAACAAATGTCAATGAATGTCTTAGCAAATTCATTGGAACCCAAGGAAAAGAGTGTAAAGCCAAGGACAGGGAATTTTTGTTAATATATTAAATTCTAGGTTTGTAAAGGCCTGAAAGAGACAGTTTTATGATCATTTGTCTTTTGGGAGGAATAACAGAAAAAGATATCCAGTATGCCCATGTCTTCCTAAAATACAGTGATCCATGTGTTCCTGTGCGTTTAGGCTTTAATTTGTTAGAAAATGGGTATTCAAATGCATGGAGAATTTAGGAGTCAGAGGATGAGAAATTCTGGCAAGAAATCAGTTACTAGAAATCTAAGCAATTGAAGAGGCATCAGTCCTCACTTCTCTATGTAATGCTTCTCCAGTATCACGGCAAAGAGCAAAGAACATTCTCCAGCTTCCATGGGAGACCCAGGCAGCAGCTCTATCTTCCCATGTAAACCAGCAACACTCCAACATCAAGCCTGAAGGCTCATAATAAACACGCCCAATAACTTTTCAGAGCCTCTTTTGTCTCAGATGACTAAAACCTTGGAACAACTGCTAATAAATGATTAGAAATATATTCCTAAGGAAGCTCCTATCATGCACTTAAGTAAAGGGAATTGTCACCTTGGTGTCACTCCTGAAAGGCTTGTGTCATGAGCACTGTGCCAGGTAAAACGATCTCAGTGTAAATAACACACTTGAAGCACTGACATATGTAAGATCTGACTAAAAAACAATATTCTGATAATTTGGATTAAACAACTCCCTGTTCCTTATAAATGCACAGTCAGATCTTTCAATTTATAAATCAACCCAGTCTACTTAAGCTTATGAATAGGCCCGGACACTCATTTCTTCAGCACCAGACATGTTAAATGCCATGAAAATCAGCTGCCTTGTAAATGAAAGTAGCTTTCGCATCCATTTAGACACCAGCCTAGTGCTACAGCATTTTCTTTGTGATCTTACTGAAATGGCATCTGGGCTACAAACATAAATGAAAACCTTCAGTTTCAATAGTCTAATTTTTCTGCTGCAGTACCTCCCTTGGCATTTGCTTAACTGTACAGGTACCCAACAATGTGCTCCTTTCAGGCCTTGACAATTGCATTTGTACGTGCATTTTAGAGCAGAAGGGAACCAAATAGAAACAGGCCAAGACAGATTATGAGGCTGCTATGGTGATCTGTTATGTCAAAAATTTCAGAAATGGATGGATGGAAAAGTCGTTCTGTGGCACTGGGGTGTGTTTCTGTTCTGAGTGCCAGGTGTGTGTTGCATGGACTCTCTAACTGTACCGCTCACTCCCATCTCATCTGGCCGCCTCCACCACATCCCCATCTCTGAGCATCAGCAGATGTTGACCTTTTACACAATGAAATGGAAAATTCCAGTTTTGTTTTGCTTTGTTTTCTTTTGAAATCAGTGGTGACCTGAAAGGATGCTTTGTTGTGCCTTTAGAAAATGTATTAATCTTTATTGTCAGGAACATAGAAAAATTTAACTACTAATACCTATGAAATAAAAACCCCTCAGACAGAAAGTGATAGTTTGTACTCTTTGCCTTCAGTACACCTCTGGCTGTTCTGCAATGGGGTTTTTCTCAGATTTCCAGCAAGCAGGTTGTACGAGCTTCCAGGGGTCACCAAACATCACACATGACTAGCTTGCTTGTTGCCTGGCTTTTAAGGTAGAAAGATTTCTGACAAAAACATCAAACATGATTGTATCTTCTAGGCTGCTGTAATGGCATTCACACGTTCCTTCTTTGTGGGCTTATCAGGTGCTTGTTATATGCACTCATAGATTCCTTTCCTCTCTAAAGGGTAAAAATTCACACTTAGATGATTCATCATCTGTTCTAGAGGACACAGGAAGGGAGTTTTCAAGGTGCAAGTCAGAGAAGAGGAAGTTGCTTGGTTTTCAAACTAAGTTTGGGTGCTTTTCAGGGCTTTCCCCCCAAAGAAGGAATCAATGAATTTAATTCCACCATCTGTATAGGAAGATACCATTATAATAAGAGTAACACTCATGAAACTCTAATCATCAAAGTGTATATGAAGGAAAATAAATCATGTATCTTATTGATGTAAATCTTTGATATATGTAACCATAATTTTGCATACATATACTTTATAAACAATGACTAAATGTTTTGGAATTCCAACAGATTTCAGTATAGATCTCAAATTAATTATCAACACTTTGTATTAAGGGTTTAATGCATGGACAGAATTGTCATCCTTTCTGATCATCTGCTAAAAACATTTTTGAAACAAATTTCCCATTAAGTTCATTTGTACTTGCTGTTGTCTATATACTAAGAAATAGGTTTCCCAAACATCCCAAAGGTACTTGATTTAAAACAGTCATTTTGATGTGCTTTGACCATGGCTGAAAAAATATTGGTGATATTATCAGCAATTAATGAATCCCAAAATAGATCTGTAGCCATTTGAGCCTTGTGATGTTTTTACCTTACCTGGTATAGTAGCAATTCATTCACATTTCACTCTTTAATAAAGTGTTCTTAGAAGTAAACATTCACAATTTTATTTAAGTGAACATTTGTTGAGGCTGATGATCCAAATTAATAGTTGGCTTGTTGTGGGTGTTTATGTTAAAGCAGTAAAAGTAATCATTGCCTTCGAACATATATTATCTGATCCTTAGTCCTGCAAAGCAAATGATTTCACTAATTATATTAAACAGTATATTATAAATAGCATAATTAAACTAGAGAGAATTGGCCTAATGTACAAATAGCTTTGTGGGGGTGATTATTACTTCTTACAAAAGCAGATGACAGAGGAGTCAGAGGTAAAGGATGGATCATCCACATAAGAAAAAAGGCCATATTCAAGAAACTTGGAATTCTCAAACAAAAATATCTTAGAATGCCAACAGAAGAAAAGATAAATGTAAACATTTTGTGACCTTGACTATAGATTATGACTTTAAATTACTTTCAAATGACTGACATGGTTGTATATAAAGCATAGAATATCTGTGAAGTTGTATTGCTTTCCTTCCCCTCTCGACCAGCTTTTATTCAATTTGAAACAATTCACTTAAGGGAAATATTGCATTTTCCTGTTTTCTCTTATAATGAGCATTGCCTTCATCACAGAGTTAAAAATTCATCTTTAATTTGATTTAATTGGCAGGACTATTAAACAAGGGAAGTGCTACCTGCAGGGATCCATCAGCCTGTTGAGAAAGCCCAGAGATGCTTTCATATTTGAAAACATTTGATGCCAGTTGGAGACCTTGTAAAAGTTGTTATACATACAGCATCTAAATATTTTTGTGCAGTATCGATTTATTTATTGTGAAACCAGGATCGTGAGGAAAATAACAAGGTTAATCATATTCCCACACAAGGGTTATTAATAATCTTGTTCATACTATCCAGAGAGCTGCCGTGTATGCTTGCTTTATTTTTTCCCTTTGCCTTAATACTTCTAAATCCCCCAAATAAAAGTTTCATTTGAATTGCCCTTTAACTAATTAGGTTTTATATAATGAGGAAAAATATTATCAGGCTAGTGTAGCGATATGGCAAATTGCATGGTGTGTTACATTAATTTTGAACTGTTTGCTGATGTTCTAGAAGGAAAGTTAAGGTCCCAGGTGAAATGCCTTTGGGGCTGTTACATCAAGTACCCAGTATCCTCATCACAGATCCATTTCACATTTGTGTAACTAGCATTTCACATTCATGAAACCTTTGTGGTTATCCTAAAATTGAATGAACATTAGGACATAGCGCTTTTTCAATCCTGAAGAATAAATCAAATATTCCAATAAAGGAAAAGGAGAGAAACTCTTACTTTTAAAAAGCCTGAGAAGTTTACTAATCCATATTGACCCATCTTAAGCAAATTGACTGTTTCATGTATTAACCTTTCCCCAGGCAAATTTAGAACATAAAGCCACTGTTTAAGTGTGAGCTGATATCTCTACCTTTGCTAGGTATCTTTGTGGGGTCAAGAAATTTTCAATTTAAACAAAGATATGTCTATAGAATTCTATTTTACAAAGAGTGAATCTGATGCTCAGAGTGCCCAAGTAACTTGCCCAAAGTTAAATGGCCAGGAATCCCTATCTACTTTAAATTCTACGTACAGTATTATACCAAGTGGAAAAGATTAGAAAAGAATTCTAGGTTTACTCACTGCTACCCCAGACTCTTTCTAATCCACTACAGTATACCTTAGGAGACCTGTTTATTTCTAAATTTACCCAGTTTCATGAAGGGAACCATACAGTCTTGGATAAAAACAGAAGTTCATTTTCTGATACCCCACTTTGATGTCAACAGAAGCACTTACAATCATGGTGTCTGGGACAGAGAATGGGGGACCGCGACCCTTCCTCCATTGAGAAAAGTCCTTCCTGTACCACAAAATATCCTAAAATATACTGAGGAAGAGAAAAAGTGTAGATGTCAGATGTGGAACATGAAAGTTTAGGGAGTTTTCTGTGCCAGTTGCACAACATGTTTATTCAGTGAACCAATTTTTTTCTATATTGAGTTAGTTCCTTTATCAAAACAAAATTCTATGTGCCATCTAAAGGTAGATCTTCCACTATCACATGTAACTCATTTTCCCCATCAGTTTAATGATGCTAAGAGTAGTCTACTA